TCTCTTGGAGGAGAGACAAAACGTTTCACTAAAGAAGAACCCATCCAGAGGACCTACTTATTTTTTCTTTTTGATTTTTTTCTACCTGGATTACAGAGATGCTTCAGGACAAGTTCTCCTTAGTTTTTTCAATGGTAGTGAATTATGTTTGAATTAATAATTAGGAAAGACAAAAACATTACCCTTAAAGGGATCTCATGATGATGGGTCGCAGTTAAGACTACAGAGCAGAGGTGCCCAAAGTGGGGCCCGCAGGCCAAAATTGACCCGCCAAGTGATTTGACTTGGCCCACCAGCAGCTGCCCTGGCCACTAGGTTGTATTCTCTTGTTTTATGTAGAAACACTAATTTCCACTTAATCATTCCAACCATTGGTCCAGCTATATAAAAGGGCTGCAGATAGTCTTAGGTACTAACTTTATCTTTGAATTACATTAGAATTAAACATAAAATACAAGTAACTACAAGAGACATTTAGACTGGATTTAAGCACACATCTATATTTGCACACAACCACAAATACTCAAATTTTAATTTATGAAATGTCCCATGAGCTGTTGATGCTCAAGTCTATGTCAATTTTTTTGCACATCCATTGGCTAACAAAAAAAATAATCAAACAACTTTACTTAAGAAGTATTTGCACTTCATGTATTATATTTTTGCATTTGGCCCGCAGCCCTCAGGACATTTTTCATTTTGGCTCCCTCAGCGAAAATGTTTGGGCACCCCTGCTATAGAGTCAGGGCTGAAAAGCTATAATGTGAGGCAATAATTTTATCTTTGAAGTATTTTCAAGGTTCTTCATAATATATGGATTGAAACGATCAAATGGGAACACCGAATATATTCGCTCAAGAACTAAAGCTATATTTATTAACTTTAGAGTTTACACTACATTTATTTGCTTTAGAGTTAACACTTTATTTATTAGCCTTAGAACTAACTCTGTATTTATTAGCTTTAGAGTTAACACTATATTAATTTGCTTTAGAGTTAACACCATATTTATTAGCTTTAGAGTTAACACCATATTTATTAGCTTAACACCATATTTATTAGCTTTAGAACTAATGCTATATTTATTAACTTTAAAGTTAACTATATTTATTAGCTTTAAAGTTAACACCATATTTATTAGCTTTAGAGTTAACACCATATTTATTAGCTTTAGAGTTAACACCATATTTATTAGCTTTAGAGTTAACACCATATTTATTAGCTTTAGAACTAATGCTATATTTATTAACTTTAAAGTTAACTATATTTATTAGCTTGCGTGCTTACTCTATATTTACTAATTAGAGTTTACACTATATTCATTACCTTTAGAGCAAAATAAATTTATTAGCTTTAGAGCTAGTGCCATAGCTTGGGAGTTAACGCAAAAATAAAAGACTAAAGCTGAGGTTCTCCTTTCATAAAGCAGCTCTGTTGTCCTCCATCATTTTCAGTTACAGTTTGAGTCATTTCTACATTCTCCTCTCTTTCAATGCATCTCATTTAAAATGTCACACATTGTCCATAATTATAAAATTCAAGCTGGATAGAGCTCACAGGAGAGCAGGAGGGAAGCATCACCATCTACCCAGAATGCTTTGCAGTGTAAATAACATGGCTATGTCCATATTGTTATTAATTTATAAAAACTAAACAGCCTACATTTGTGACTCATTTTTATAGTTGAATTCAACAATGTCTAATGTTTACAACTTGGAAAGTATTTTTTTGCTATCAACAAAGCAAGTGAAATGCATGTCAAGTTGTACCTGCTTTTCTTTTTATTATAAAATATAAAATGTTCAAAGTAAAATGTATGCAGATGTTATATGTGTCTGCAAAGATTCAGACTGAAAGATAAAAACAGGAAAGTTTCACACTGGTATGAATTTTGGGGTTTGCTAGGCTAGCAGTGTTATGTTGAAACAAGACAAGAGGACAACAGGGAGGAGGAGTCGACCCCGCCCACGTCGTGACGTAGCAGGACGCACGCGGCGCTCAGAGGAGCAGCTCGAGCTGCAGCAGCAGAGCTGAGAGAAGAGCCAGCGATGGCTTCACTCAAGCAGGAGCACCGTTACGGGCTCTCCTGTGGAAAAACGAACAAAAACAGCCCCAACATCACGCTGTACCACGTCAAGCTGACGGACACGGCTGTCAGGGCGCTGGAGGCTTACCAGAACCTCAAGGTACCGTTTCTTACTCTCTTTCTGAGGTGGTTTTTTTTACACCTCAAAAAGTTTTAGCTCCCATTTTTTAACGAATTAGCTTCTCTGGTGCGTTTAGGCATAACAGCACACAAATATTTTGCCTACTCCTCAGTTTGTTTGTATTTTTTCTGTCAGCGTTCAGTTTGTTGTGCAAATTTACTGTCAGTACTGTCTGTCGACCCAGAACACAACAGAACTGAACCCTGTAATTAAAAACAAGCTGTTGCACACCACGAAAAATAAATAAAAAATTCCAGATTTTCCAATAAAGTACCAAAAATAAGTCTTCTTTTTTTCTGACACTGAGTTGTTGTAATTCAAACAGGCTTTACTGATTGTGTAACTTTAACATTTGTATTTATTTTCTTCTCTTTAACCCTTAGGGAGCTTTACAAAGTCAACCATCCATATGTTTCAGCAGAAACCAAGGGGTAAGTTTTTATTTTTAATCATTCTTTAAATATATTTAAATAAAGTTTCACACTTTTTTATTTTTGATATTCAGTGTGTTTGAGCCCATTCGTTTGCTTTAAAGCATGAAACTGTAGGATGAGTGATCGTGTTAACCTGGCACGTATCTCACTCCTCCTTTTTTCTTTGAAACAAGAGCAAATAATTTCTTCTTTTCCTTGTCTTGGTCGTGGTTTGCTGATGACTCACCGCGCCCCGCCGTGCTSCCACCCTCTGATAGCCCAGGGAGAAGGAGGCTGTGTGTGCTCCTCTGCAGCAGATAGGAGCCGTGCAGGTTACCGGGTCAGGGCCGGTGACCGTGCACAGGATTTGTTGGGTCAGCGAGCGGCCCCGGGAAAGGAGAGGGTGAGAGAGAGAGGGTAGAGAGGTGAGCACATATGTTGTCAGAGCTGGAGTGAAGATGAGGAGTTGTTACGGTGAGTCAAAGGAGTTGTATTCGTCCAGCCTCGTGCGTGCTGTTCTCTTTGGTGGAAATGCAGTTTAATGCTGTATCGGTGTGTCTGTGCAGGTTTAAGACATTAAGACACAATATCCGAGCCAGGAACTCGATACTGAGGCGTGATCTGGAGTAAACAGCCTGAGCTCTGTGTGTGTGTGTTTGTGTTTTGACTTCAGTCAGGAGCAGCTGTGTCCTTGGGGAATCCTTACTTTTCAGTCAATGCTAACAGCACAGGTTGGTTTGAAAGAGTCACGACCCCCCTTCCTGTCACGACAGGATGAGCAGAGGGCTGGCGAGTTCAGAAAATGGGGAGCTTATGTTGTCAACAAACTGGTTTTAAACCAGTATATTTGTAGGTGCGCGTGTGTTGCTTTCATTTTTGCATGAGTTTAAAGCAATCCGAGAGTGTGGAAGTGTTGTTGTTTTTTTTTTTTTGCCAGGGTGTAAATAAAGACATCATTCAGAGAACTTTCTGCAACAGGTAAAATGTTAACTGCTCACAAAAACTTTCCACGGAGCTCCTCTTCAGCTTATCTGAACAATCCCTTTAAAAGGTGAAGGATGGGTCAGCTGGCGGTTTCCTTTGGTTCTGGAGGAGTTTTGTCTCGGTAGATAACAACTGCAACCTCCAATAAACAGATGTGTGGTAATGAAAGGCAGTCTTCACGTCCGAGGCTGTGGGAGTAAAAGCAAAGGATCAGGAGTTTGCATTAAAGTATTATTTTGTAAGAGAACCTGCTGTAATTGTTGAATAAACTGATGAATCAATCAGTTGTTTTCATTTACCATGCTTTACTGACCTTGTCTTGCATGCATAAAAAGGACGTGGCAATTTGTTCATCCTTCATGTCATGAAAAACGGTCATCTTGTGCTTTTGTTTAACTGTTCGCTAGCGTAGTGGTTCCCAAACTTTTTGTCTTCTGACCCACAAAATATTCATGGCAAAACCTTGTGACCCCAAATATTACTGGTCTGAGTACATGAACTTTGT